GCCACCTCTGGTTTCTTCAATCATCCAGCAAACCATCTCAGAGCAGTTTCAGCTTTTCAACCACCCTGCAAGCAAAACCTCTCTAACTGTGGCCTTTATTTCCAAGGTTCCTCTGGACACAGTCTTGCCACAGTTGGGACACAGTCTCTTGACAATCTGTCAACCCATGATCACTGCCATTTCTCACAGCTTGGAAAATGCTCTGTTATACTGTTCCACAGCTGCTGCTGATTTGTAAAACCATGTGCCCGAAGTTAAGTAGCTGGAGACCAACACAATGGTTAGTAAAATAAATTTTCAAGGGCTCTGACAGCCCACTCCAAGTTCCCTACATTCACACTTCATTCATTCATTCATTCATTCATTCATTCCATGTTGTTATTAAATGATGCTTGTAGCTATTCTACCTCCTCTTTAAATGTCTTCTATTCTAAGGACTCTACCTCCAGTGCTGGGTCTAAAAGCATTTTTCTACTGAACATAAGAGTTCTCAAAGATCTGTTGTTTCTGAAGTGGATGGTCAATCCCACTTCCTAGTCTGTCTTAATCCGACAATTCCACTTTAGTACAACAAGTGGCAGATAAGACATTTTTTTTTCTGCTGCTATTTACATATGTACAGAATGACTGTTGGTGTGTGTCAACAAGTTGGAACCAACCCATAGCTAACGATCCAGGAGATTTTCAGAGGCAGTAATCATACAGTAGATTGTCCATGCTTCTCCTGTGGAGCAGCTGGTGAATTCGAACTCTGTGCCTTAGGGATTGCAGTGCAATCTAGAGTTATCTTTATAGGATGACATGATCCTATATATAGAAAAATCACGAAAACTCTGAGAAAAGAGGGCTGGATTTAGTAAAGCATCAAGGTACAAGATCAACATTTAAAAAAATCAGATTTTATACTAGGCAACTCACAGGCCTGATAAGACTGTGCAAACTTTCAGGACCCTTTGACCATAAGAACCAGATGGTGTCCAGCTCAGTTACTACTATGCACTACTCTCAATGGGACCACAGCAGGTGTCCTGGATAGATTTGGGAAAACAGAGAAATATACAAAACTGACTAGGCTTATTTGATGGTACACAACAACAATAATACTGGTCCAATAGATCGTAGAACTCCTTGTGATTATGCCCATCAGTCATCGCTGGCAAAGAACTAGCCCAAGTGGCTCAATTTTCAGTCAAACAATATTATAAGGTGAACAATAAAACCAAGGAGGTTATTCTCTTTAGAATAATCAACAAAGCAAGCAGAGTCTGTCCAAGGATAATACCCACAGAGCAAGAAAAGATAGGATTAACAGAAAGGAGAACCACGGGAAGGGTGTGGAAATAGTGTGTCTGATTACATTGTGGGTACCATAATTAATGATATAAAATAAAATGTCCACGAGTGGCAGAATGGAAACTAGACTGCCTTCTAAATTTTCACTCAACCTGTAATGGAGGGAAAAAAATGTTTCCAAACATACAATCACATACTGAAATACAGGAGCAGATACATAATTACACAGTGAGTTACCATGCTGGTATTAGGAAGAGAAGGGAGAATACAAAAGGAGATGTTATCTTTTAAGGACTTTATAATAATAAAAATTATTAGGCTAATTGTACTGCTTATACACAAAATCGTTTGTATACTGTTACTGGTATTATGAGCATCTTTACAAATATTATAATGTTACTCTGTTTTTAAAATTGGTCAACTAAAAAGTTCTACATTTTTTAACACATGGATCAGTATTTTCTTCATTTCCAGAATGGCTAAATTTACTAAATCAAGAGCTGAATAAGCAAGTATTTGCTGGGTACTCAATCAAAGTACGTAAAACTGAGAGAGAGAGAGAGATCCCTTTAAGTCTTAAATCTCACTTTACATGAACCTTTACAAAAAACTAAAACTTAATCCTGGTGGAAAGTCCCTAGGAGTCAAAACCTCACCCAACGGCAGTCAGGTATTTTTACTGCATAAATTAAGGTAAAGTCCTATTTACTAGTGTTTATATATTGTGGAATTTTTTATTTCATAACTGGATGTTTCAACTATATGTAAGATGTGAGTTAAGAGAAAAAGATCATCAGAACAATGAATAACAAAGTAGTACACTTTTAAAAATCTGAAATTGGGAATGAGCCCAATACTCCCAGTTAAGCAGCTTAGTGATCTAAGATCTACACATATTAAGTCTCAAAGGTAATGAGAAGCTTCACACAATTTCTTGAGTGACATTATTTCTCTTTGTGGTAGATTCTAGGAGGCCCAAGTGGCACAAACCCCATCTTGGTCAGCTCCCTAAGATAAACCTTACTAGAGGGAACATCTGATAGATGTAGACAGACGTGAAAATGGCAATGGTCACACACACAAATACATACTCTCTCTGGTAAAAGTGAGCACTGTACCACACAATCAGCAAATCAGAGAGCTATTCACAGAAAACGGTTGATAAAATGTCACGGTTAATTTAAATCTTCAGTTATCAACGGTCATAGCAAAAAGGAACCTAAGGAGATATGATTACTAAATGTACTGTGGTGGCTGAAAACATAAAACTGGTATCAAGAAAGAGCTAAGGAAACGTGAGCAAAGCATGACTTCAGCTAACAACATCTGTAATATAAACAAGGCAAAGAACCAGTACTAGTGAATTAATTGGGACAAAAGGTCCCCACTCACTTGAGATCCTAATTACTATGGTGAACTGGGTCCCAAAATAGGAAGGAGGAAAGGGAAGTAGTTAGAAAGGCTCTTGGCAACGTATCTACTTCTCTCTTCAGAATTACCTCTTCTATCATTTCATATGGCAACAGCAAAAAAAAGCCACTATTTTGTGTAGTAAAAGCTTCCATCTGGGAGGTGATAATGTTGGCCATGAGGGTTATGCATCAATTGTGCTGGGCCTCAGTCGCTCGGCAGTTATGTAATGATGCCACCTGACATGTGAGGCATGCCATCTGTTTTCACATTAATAACCTGGTCTTTGAAACCCAACCATGCCAATGTGTTAAGGAGTGGGTGTAGCTGTCTAGATACTGGCCACATGAACAAAAAAGTGCCCAGGATTTCCAAGGCTCTAAATATTTACAGGAGCAGAATGCTGCATTTTTTTCATCACCCCTTGACCCGCTCATAGCTTTAAACCATTGACCTTTTGGTTAGCAGATGAGCACTGAATCACTGTGCCACCAGGGATAATAAGCACACAGATGATCAGAGATTTATTTACTTAAAAAAGAAAAAATAGTAAAATAAATAAATCTAAAGCTTGTTGCTCACCGGTGTCAAGCTGGCCTAAGGCATGGTCAACCCAGAACCAACTGGTGCCCAGACCTGGATAACGCCCATGACTGGCTGCAGATCAGACTGTTGTGCTTCTGAAGGTTTTCACCAGCTCCAAACTCAAACTCACTGCCTCCTGGTGACCCTCCCTCAGGGTTCCAAGACCGAGGTGTGTGGTGGTTTTGTTTACTGTGATGCAAGGAAACTGCTCATCTTTCCCCTGCAGACTCAGCCCCTGGTGGATTCAATCCAAGAGGCTTGCAGCCTTTGGTTTATGCTATTTACTGCAGATCATGCCAAAGGTCATTCTGTGGCTAGTTTTCAGAAACAGATTCGTAGGTCTTTATTCCACCTGAGGACAGAAGTGCCACTGAAACCTACTCAGCATCTGAACAGCAAGCAGTCCTACACCACAGACAGGTAGTGTCTTCAGAGGAGATGCAATGACTGGGATTCAAACCACATGAACGCAGGAATTACACCATAGAACACCAATGACTTTCTGAAAGCCTACAACATAATTATTCTTTTTTTTTTTTAATTTTACATGAATCATGTTAACCAGCACATGGTTTTATACAATGACAATCTAAGAAAGTATGACTTATCCTTAAACACCTGGGATCAACATGTTATGCAGCTTCCCCAGTGTCTTGCAGATTTAAGGAAGTGACAGTGTTCTATTTGTGTGGCTCCAAGCTCACACTTGGTCTATTGTCTAAATTTCTTCCATATTATGGAGGGCAGCGAAGATCTGTATTTAGAAATGTGACAGTCTTTTGTCCTGTTGCCAAGTAGCATCTGCTCTCATCAGAACGTTCTACTTCGATGTCACAATCATCTAAGTAAATTCCATTTCAGTTCTTAAAATACTACTGTTGTTGTTGTGTACCATCAAGTTGGAACCTATCCACAGCTGACTCTCCAGTGGGTTTTCAGAGGCTGTAAATTGCACGGGACGAGATTGCTGATCCTCTTCCCATGGAGAAGCTGGTGGATTCAATCTGCATGCCTTCAAGAGTACAGCACCGTTTCTTACCAGTAGGCCAGCAGAGCTCCCTAAAATGCTATTAGGCACATCATATCTTTCTTTTTTTTTTTATTAAATTTTATTAGTTTTAATGAACATTTACAGAGATTTTGGGTTTTCATTCATTCATTGTTGCACTGTTTTCTCCACCCTCATCCCCAGTTAGTTCTTCTTTCCCCCCCACAATGTCTGCTTTAATTGTCCACATAATTATTTAATCTTCTTTTAGTTTGTTTAAACATCTTACTATTTTACAAGATATTAATTAGGAATTTAAGGGGTTCTTGTGGTACAACGCATTACATACTGGGCTGTTAATCAAAAAGTTGGCAGTTCTAACCCACTAGCTATCCCATGAGGAAAAGATGAAACAGTTACTTCCTGGAAAGAGTATAGCCTTAGAAAGCTAAGCCAATGGAGTGGTGTTGTGAGCTGGAATCAATTCAAAAGCAGTGTTTTAATTTTGAAAACAGGGTATCAAAATTGAGAAATCTAAAATGGTAGTAAGACAGGTTATTTTCTCAAAATTTTAAATGAAATAATTTGCTGTAAAATATAAAAGGAAATTTCCAAGTCACACTAAATAGTATTGCTCCATGTTCTGATACTTGTACATTTTTGGGGTAAAAGTAATTCAAGAATGCATTTGAAGACAAATAATGTATTTTTAAAAGAAACTTACCTGACAGATTTTTTCCCAAATCTCATCACAGCCAGCTTTTTCCTGAAAACTCAGAGCCAGATCATAGTTTTCAGCTTCTGACCAAACAATTAATGTATCCTATTTAAAAAAAAAAAATTTCCACATCATCGCAAAGAACTGCAAGGAATAAACAGTAAGAAAACAAAAACAGTACAGCAATGATAACTGTCTCCTACTTAGTATTCATAATTAATTGTTAAGTCATAGTTACCCTTTGAAATTCTAGCAATCTTTAGGAAATTAAGTCATTTTTACACTTAAAATGAAAATGAGCAATTTTCTAAAGCCAAAAAATATTAAGGCTATAATACGGAGCTCCTGGCTTATGTTACCAAATTGTTAAAGGGAAAGGCTAGTCAATTCTTCATCATAATTCTAATGTAGACATTTCAAGACTGGGGTAACGGGGGTGTGTCAGAGACATTAAGATTGGCACAAGAATAGAGCAGAGTTTAGGGATGTTGTACACAGGGTCGTTGTAAGTCGCGGAAGATTCAACAGCACATAACAACATCATCTTTCCAGTTGTTCTCTAGAAATCGTTGTTCCAGTCATGAGTCACCTGTTTATCCTTCCCTTCTAACTGTGAACTTGTTTTAAAAGGTTTAACCCTGTTTTTGCTTTTTAAAATAAATGTGTGATGAGCTTTCAGCACTCTGAGGAATACAAAGCAACAGTGCAATGAAGCTACTTGTTCTATCTATAAGTACTACCCACAATGCCCAGTTCAGCAGCTTGGCTAACTAGTAAAAAGAAGGAGCACAGAGTACAGGAAGTTTTCTCTCCTAGGATGTCCTCGATGATTTCCCTACTTGTAAAATTCACGACACTTTTAGAAAAAGTGTTAACTTTTGTATTGACAACACTAAAACCATGATGCAACATTAATGATAATTTTTTTCCAAGGATATACAATAATCCAAATTTAATATGGCTAGCAAAAACTCTCACTTTAAAAACTGGAAATGAATTTGGTATATACATATATTCATTATTCAAGTCTATAAAAACTTTTTAGTAGGTCATTACTTTCATTATCACCTGATGTTAAGAAATACGAAAAGGAACCCTAAACATTTAAGTTCTCTTTAGTTATAACCAATATATCAAAGACAAAGATATTATTTCATTAATTCAAGCCTTAGTTGAAAACCGTTTATAGCCGGAAATAAGTTTTGCTTTGTAGCTGACGATTTCTTGGAAAGGAAAATTTGCAACCAGATTTTGAATTCCAAAATTTTTTTTTTTTAAATTCCAAAATTTTTTAACTCCTGGCTTTAAAACAATCAGTAATTCCCCACATCTACACGTGACATCTTCAAACCTTTTTATAAAACCGGTGACCATTTTTCTAGACAAAATGATAGGAATCTCCATGTATAAAACCCCTAAGCAACCTCCAGTTAAACCTCTAGTGCACATACTCAGGGTACCAGTACTGCCCCACGTCCCTGACTCAGCTTCTTAGAAAACTCCTCAAAACAGCTTCATAAACCTTGATTTCTTAAAACTTGATACAGTGGAATAAAAAATGTGGATTGTGGAAGTTAATTATTACAATATAGTAATATTAGTATAATGTTAGTAATGCTGTTATGTACCATCGAGTCGCCTGCAACTCATAGTGATCCTATGTACGACAGCCCTCAACCCTGCTCTGTCCTGTGCCAATCTTACTGTCTGACACACCTACTCCCATTACCCCAGTCACTTAACCAATCCATCTCTTACATACAAAAACATAGACAAAAGCAGTTATTTTTATAATTATCCTTGTTGTTGTGTTATCTTCGAGTCAGGACTGACCTATAGCTGACCCTTGCGGGGTTTTCAGAGGCAGCTAATCGCACGGGAGGAATGCCCATTCTTCTCCAAGGAAGCAGTTGGTGGCACCTGAACTGCATGCTTCCGGGATTGCAGCGCAGCTTCTTGCCACTTGGCCATCAGAGGTCCACAAACCGTATTTTTAAATATTTGAACTGTAATAGCATTATAACAAATTGGTCTCTCAAGACCAAATACACACATTTCAAAACTCAAACCCACTGCCTAGTGGGATCCCTACTCGTAATGACCTTCCACCGGGTGACTAAAGCTGTAAATCTTGATGGAGCAGACTGCTCACATTTCTCCCTTGAAGCGGCTAATGGTTTGAACTGGACTACGGTCTGTTTACTCTGGACAACAGTGGAACATTCTATGGACTGTTCTCTCAGAGCTCCTAACATAAAGGTGGGGTAGAGTATAGCATACATGACAACTCATGGAGAGAACAAACATCGTCTGGGCCAGAGCCATCCTTATAAACTTCCAGACGTTTGTTTACGTGTCGGTCCACCTCGGTGAGCAGTGCCTTATTTTTGTGGCCCTCAACTTTACCAAACATGATGTTCTTTACTAGAGTTCAGTCATTCCTGACAGTGCAGCCAGAGGAAGCATGTTTCCAAGATCTACAGCAACTGGAACGTGGGATGAACAAAGCTGCCCAATTACACTTACATGACTTTTTAAAACTTTTATAAAAGTACGTCTCTATTTTATGACGGTGAGGATAATTTAAATCAGAAAATACCTACAAGCAGTTATCTGCACACACTGGGCTACAAAGTAAGTCAGCATGGGTAGGTGACACTTCACATGGAAAGGTCACTCTTCCCTACAGCGTATCCTGCGTGCTACTGATTTTTATCATTTGATTATTGAATAGGAGTATTAACAAAATATAATTACATTCAGTTGATAAAATCTTCTCTTACTCTAATGCTTGTGTCAATTTTGGAAATCAGTAGTATTACACAGTGAAATCCAGGCCTCTACAGACCTCATTTTTACCCCAATCTACCTTCTCACTATCTTCAGACACTAAAGTCTGCAGTATCTGTGTGCTGCTTATTATTAACATTTTCTTTTAGTCTTTCCTTTGAATTTTAAACATTTTTTTTTTATTTTAAACATTTTTACCTGATCTAGTAAAAAATTCCAGAAACTAAATGGTAAGTACATCCAGGATCTTTCACAAATGAAAAGATCAATATGTAGATTTCCATACCTTTCTGCTGGAAATGACTGCAGGTGATATCCCCAAGTCATTAATTTTAAATAGGAGTTCCAGGTAATTGTTTTGGAAAATCAAATTTGAGCAGGTGACCTATGTGTACTCCTAGCATGTTTTTAAAAGATGAGAGTGGTACCTACTCCCAAAGGTTGACAACTCTCATCCCAAATCCAGCCTCAATCACAAAATAAAAACCCAGAACAAGCCCTGCTTAGAACTATTTAATAAAAAATTAGAGTAAATAATCTCTCATGGCCCGAGCACAAGATTATTTCAACCAGAATGAAGTGTTAAATGCCAGAAATCTTCTGTACATCTTCAAAGCCTAGATATGGCAGAGGTGAATTTTACACCTCTGTTTTCAATCACTGTACTTTGTGACATTATATTTTTTATTTCATTCGTTCAAGGTTAGGTATTTTACCTCTTCAGGAAATTACTGATGTCACAATCCCAGAGGTCAGGTTTTCCTTTACTAACCAAAGCTCCAGTGGCCTAGTCATCAGAATTTATGCTGCCAACTCAGAGACATCCCAGTTAGAATCCTGCTCCATGGGAGAACGATCGGCTATTTGGTCCTGTGGGATTTAGAGCCTCTGAAAACTCTCTTGGTGGGCTCCAATTCGACAGTGCACACCAACCAAAGCATTTTATTATTACTGTGTTCTTATGAAGAAAAAGACTTAAAGCAAATTTTGAGGAAGAATTTTTAAAAAGTCAGTTATATTTAGTCTGACTTAAAAAAGTAAGAAAGGTCACTGTGCACAGGCCCCATGTGGAAGTAAGTCATGGTCTGGGGAACCTGATAACCTTTTAATTTGAATCAAGTAACATTTTCCACAATGCAGTTTTAATAAATAGTTTTCAGCAGGGAGCTGTGGTGATCTAGTGGCAAGAAGCTGCTCTGCAATCCACCAGATGCTCTGCCGGAGGAGGAGGATTGATCTCCTGTGCCAGTCGGATCCAATTCAAGGGTACACACCAAGAAAAAAGGGGTAAAAAAAGCTTTCCAACATCACCTGCTTGAAAACAGACATCCACATATACATAGGCATGTATGTACACACACCCATTTCAGAGATGAATATTCTTTAAAACACTTCTTAATTTAGTGTTTACATGGTATCTCAGAAATTTCTACTTAAAACTTAGTGCATAACACCTTTTTTGGGGAAATGGTCTAGAATCTTTTAATTATATTCACAGATGTATCTGATAGCAAAAGAGCCCCAAAAATTAACAGATTATCTCTTTCCTCTCCCTCTACTGTACTAACTCATGTCATTAACGTAAATAAAATTCAGCATTATGAAATAGTTGGGAACAGACAAATTGCCAATGTCTCAAAAGAAATACTAAGGTTAAAAAAAAGGGCAGGCAAGGGGACAAGATAAAATATTGGTACACTGATAAAATTCAATTTATAGACTCACATCAGCTAAAATGCCTGAAAATGCCTGAAATTTGCTAACTCACAACTGCAGCACTTGACCCCGAGAGGTTCTTTTTCTTCATCTGAGCTCTTGCTGGGAATGAATTTGTGAAGTCATAACTAGGGAACAAGGGGGCGTCTTGGGTTGTATAAATGATTAAAGCTTTTACCCACTAAACACATGATTGGCAGTTCAAGTTTGCTCACAAGCACCCTGGAAGAAAGGCCTAGTGATCTAGTTCTGAAAAATAAGCCACCGAAAATTCTAGGGAGCATGGTTCTACTCCAATACATACGGGGCTACTCTGACTTAAGAGCTCATGTGTCAGCACCTGGTTTTACATGTAAAAGTCCAAGACAGAATGAAGGCTGCATGGCACAGAGACTTCTACTACTACTGTTTAACTTTCCCCAGAGCCAATATCTTTTTATAAACTCGAATAACCCTGGGCCCAAATTAGAACTTTCACATTATTCAGTCCAATGCTCAGTATTTCTATATTCTTGGCATAATTAAACTTCTTTGATCTTTCTCACTGAAAAATGAGGAAATCCTACCAACACTAATAATATTTAAGCTACTTAACATTTTATGATTTTGAATGCACTGTTTTTATGAAGCTTACTATACACTGGGGACTGTGTGAAGCATCTCTCACATCAATGCAAAACCATTGCTACTGAAACATGAGTCAGAGATGAAATCTGCTCCCTATCACACAGCTACATGTTAACAGAATTCAAAACTAAAACTGTGATGGTAAAACTCACACCCTTGATACTGTTCTAAGCCACATAGAGTAAAATGTGAGCAATTTTCCTAAATTTCTCTCCTAAGGTACATTTATAAAAGCAATGATCGGCTCCTAAAGAAGGTGCTCTCCTCATCCAATGCACGAACGTACTCATGCCACACCAGCACCAGCTCTCTACCCTCCTCCAACCTGAGCTTTCTTGCTCAATCATGCACGTCCTCTACTACAGCACCTGAGCTATGGTTCAAAGTACAGAGCAGACTCTACTCATTATATATTCATGCGGTCACTGCAACACAGCACTCAAATTCCAGACCTTTCTTTCCCTTTTAACACTCCTTACAACATTCCCTACAATGGCATTCAGGCTAGCTATCCATCAGGTTCTCAAGCTAAACGCCAACTGTTCTTCATTTTATTGTACTCCTCCACCAAGTAAGACAAGCCTTTTTACCTTCATCTCACACTCTAACTAAATCCTAGAAGACTCTTCAACTTTTTATTGGAGAATATGAGATAAAGAAACTTGCTGACTGCAGGGTTCATTATACTGAAATTCTGTTCTCTATGTTTGGAAAACAACATTTGCCCAATTCTCTGCTCTTTCCAATTCTTTGTTATTCTACTATACAGACTCTTTCTTCTTCTTGATGATCAACATCTAACCTGATGAACAACATCAGCAAAGGAGCTGTGGTTATACAGTAACACGTCTGCTAACCTAAAGGTCAGAGATTCATACCACCAACTCCACTATACCACCGACTCCACTGAAGAAAAGATGGACAGACTCGAGAACCTGATGGGGCAGTGCTCTGAATCAAAATCAACACAATCACAGTGGGTTTAAAAATCTATTAGCAAGTCCTGAAAATTCTACCTTTAACATAGTATCTCAAACCTACCTCTTTCCATCTCTATAAACCAACAATCACTTTAATTCAATTCACCATGATTACTGCTTTAGACTCTGCAGCCATCTCTAAATCTTTTTACTTATGCCTCTTCCAAATCCACACACTCTTGGATCATGTAAACCTTTTTTGCTGAAAACCCTTCAACACTTATAAATGAACATGAAGAATCCAAACTAAAAACTGAAGACTCCCAGAATCCCCTGCTCCAAACTCTTACCCTAGCTCTAGGTGGTTGTTTTAAGTTCCTTCTGTTCATTTCACTCTCACTCCAGAGTCTAGACCAAACAAGCAGGCACAAAGCTGATACTGTACAACCATGTATGCAGTGCAAGAGAGATACAGAAGATATTTCTTGCGTATGCCTAAAAACTCTTGATAAGATGTATTTAAAACTGATTAATGTTAAGTGACCTCTAGCGAAGGAAACTCTATGTTTGGAGTGGAAAGGAAACGTCAATAAATACCTTTTGATGTTCAATCACGTGAATTTATGATCTCACCAAAATAAAGGCCTGCTGCTGTTGCTGTAAATATATATGACTCATACCAAATGACTACTCTAAACCTGTTTTCCTTCTCAACCTTCTGCTTTCTGGAAAGAACCATTATTTTTCTGCCCCCAACACTCAAAAGATACTACCAGTAACCTTTGATTCCTTCACTTTCATGTTTAATCACTCACAAAATCTTCTCTTTCTCTGCGCTTTCTAATCCCATTTACCTTACTGGAATAAATTTTCACTTTCTTTTATCTCAATTACTGAAAAAGGCACTTTTGCCCCACCTCCACCCCCTACATATAAACCAATTCTTATTTAATCTTTACCAAAGTGATTATCATGTTGGCCCTGTACTCAAGAACCTAGAATGACTCTCTTCTGTTTAACAAATCAAGTCCTCAAACAAGAAACCTCTCTAGTAGGTTTTCAATTCTATTCCCTAGTTGACATCAATGCTTTTTCTAATTTTTTAATGACCAATCTATGGAATACAAGCTTGTATTTAAACTTTGTGTCAGTATTTACTTACTGTACAAAAAAGGGAAGCAAAACACTTATTCTATAACTTAGCTATCTGTGAACTGCTTTCAAGGAGGATATCGTTAATGTCTTTTCAGCTATTTTATTACCATTCTGAAGTTGCTGTCTTGGTCATATCTTTCCTGTAAAAAGAACTAAGGGAGAGGACTTTTCTATCCCTTTATCCTCATGGCATAAAATTATGTTAAGTATAAACGGCACACATCCCTATGGATTTTGCTCAATTTAGTCAAGCTTAGAAAGCAAAATCTGAAGTAACTTAGAAATGTTGACACATACCAGGTACTTCATTTCATGCTGAACTAGGTAATTATTTTCTCTTTCCAATGTGCTTACTGCAAATATTTCAAGTCTACTGGGTCCGCTCGGGTAAGTACATCCTCTTCTCATTAATGACCCCAGTTTTGTTCAGAGTACGCAAGGAAGCAATGCGAATCAGTGAGGACGTAGTCAACATTCAGGCATCTGACATTCACGCAAATGTATGTGGGGCCCACAATTCAGAAGCTTACTTTTCAAAACAACCCAGAAATTACAAATGTCTCATTCACTCACTCATTCCACTGTTCTATTTAAAAATTAACTAATGAGCATTATGAATCGCAAGCGACTCGATGGCACATAACAACAACAACAACAATGAGCGTTTTAGAAATTTTTAGAAATGTAAATTTTAGAAATTTAAACAGTTTTGTAGATCAATTTACTAAATAACTTAAATGACAATTTAGAAAAATAATTCTGGGGGAGGGCTGGGCAGGGAGAAAAGTGCAACAATGAATGAAC